GAGCCGAAAATTGAATCCGTATTCAAATTGGTCGCTGCGTGCCTATTTCTCCTCAGTTATTCCACAATATTTGGCCTAATAATTCCTGCACGCACACCCGCACCGGTAGGAATATCGGCCGTGTGTACTCCTTCAGAATGTTCCAACAGGGTTCGACCTCTGGCGGTGACGCTACAGGAGACCAGACGAGGATGGATGACCGATCCGTCCTCCTAAAGTCTCCCAATGTCTAGAAAACGGTCAATTTAAAGTGGTCTCTCCTAAAATCTAACCGGAGGACCTAAAACAGAAAACGGGACAGCAAGTCACTTTCGCCACCAGCCTTCCATTTTCTAGCACGATGATTTTAATTAGCCTTATGCAACGCATACGTGCGAAAAGCGACGTTCTTTGTCCTCTTCCAAATACCTGTTAGGAGCTCTTCCAAATACCTGTTAGGAGCTCTTCCAAATACCTGTTAGGAGCTCTTCCAAATACCTGTTACAAGCTCTTCCAAATACCTGTTACCACCTTTTTACAATATCTGTTCTTTTTCGATATTAAACGATGGGTCAATTTTCCCCTCCCTGCAAATGGTAACGGTATTTAACGGCCACAATAAACGGAGATGATATTAAAAAAACAGGAAAGCCATAACAGGGAAAAAACAACGCGGCCCACATGTGCTAAAATAAAATATACAAAAAAAAAAAAAAAAATAAAAAAATAAAACCTTTCCTAAAATGGTCCACACTACAGTCACACACTATTACAAACAACCTAACTACCCTGAGGAAACTAACTAACCTCATCAAGAATGAGGTTATGTATGTATGTATGTATGTATGTATGTATGTATGTATGTATGTATGTATGTATGTATGTATGTATGTATGCTATCATTTTTTTACCATTACCACAACCCCCAAAGCTCACCCATAATCCTACGACCTATACACAACCCCCCTCCCCTCAATTTTTTCAATCCCCCCCCCCTCAATTTTTTCAATCCCCCCCCCCCCCCACTGGTAAAATTTACTTAGTGTGAATTTTAAATTCACGCTACAGCTGTCCAACTTTATTTTAGTGGATATAGCTGGCCGTAGCCGCGCTCTGGTAACTTTATATACGGGCCAGAGTGGTGTCAAAGCCCGGTTTGACCAACTGCTGGGCCTATGTATAAGGGGGGGAATTTCTTGTGTATATTCTGCCTCACATTTGACGGCATTCCTATAGCCCTGTTCATTCCAATCTTCATATATATATATGTTTATATATATAAATCTTTATATAATGTTATGGTGGTGCACTGTGTCATTCCTGGCTTTATTTACTGCGTCCGCTTATTCATCGTTGAGTGTATTCATTGTATTACACACAGAAATCACAATTGCGTGATGCATCAAATGAACAAATTCACAAAGGGGGCCGTGACGAGGATTCGAACCTGCGTCCGAGAGCAGTGTCTGCGATGCTCTCGGACGTAGATTCGAATCCTCGTCACGGCCCCTTGTGTATTTGTTCATTTGTTTATTCGTTGTATATTTTTATTCAGTCCTTCATTCATGTCGTTGTATACTTTTTCTTGATAAATTCTTACCAGCATTTATTTAATGTGTATTAGGGAGCCGGTGGGCCGAGCGGACAGCACGCTGGACTTGTGATCCTGTGGCCCTGGGTTCGATCCCAGGCGCCGGCGAGAAACAATGGGCAGAGTTTCTTTCACCCAGAGAGTAACGGTCAGGGGCGAGAAGTCTGACTGGCGAACAGTAACGAGTGGAGTACCTCAAGGATCGGTGCTGGGACCAGTTATATTTCTAATATACGACGACATGTCACAGGAGTCGAGTCCTATATGTCGATGTTCGCGGATGACGCGAAATTAATGAGAAGAGTTGTGACAGATGAGGATTGTAGGATACTCCAAGAGGACTTGAACAGGTTGCATAAATGGTCAGAGAAATGGGTACTGGAATTCAACACGAGCAAGTGTAAAGTTATGGAATAGGACTAGGTGAAGAAAACCAAAGGGACAGTACCTGGGAGTGGACGTAACACCAAATCTAACTCCTGAGGCACATCTTAGAGTATGCAGCCTCATCATGGAGCCCCCACCTAAACAAACACACCAAGAAACTGGAAAAGGTTCAGAAATTTGCGACGAGGCTTGTCCCAGAGATGCTAGGGATGGGATATGAAGAGCGACTGAAGGAAGTGAACCTGACGACGTTAGAAAAAAGGAGGGGGCTGGGAGATATGATAGCAGCATACAAAATACTTAGGGGGGATTGACAGAGTGGAAATAGACGAAATGTTCACACGGAATACCAACAGAACAAGGGGACATGGGTGGAAGCTGGAAACTCAGATGAGTCATAGAGATGTTAGAAAGTTTTCTTTTAGCGTGAGAGTAGTGGGGAAATGGAATGAACTAAAGGAGCACATTGTGGAAGCAAACACTATTCATAGCTTTAAAACTAGGTATGATAGAGAAGAAGGACAGGAGTCATTGCTTTAAACAACCGAAGGCTAGAAAGGCGGGATCCAAGAGCCAACGCTCGATCCTGCAGGCACAAATAGGTGAGTACACACACATTCACACTCGTCTCACTATCTTCATACTCACCTCACTATCTTCACACTCATCTCACTATCTTCATACTCACCTCACTATCTTCATACTCACCTCACTATCTTCACACTCACCTCACTATCTTCACGCCCATGTCACTTCACTCACTTGACTCATATCCACCTAACTGTCGACTCATAAATTCCCCGCTGGTGTGAGGCAGTTCCTCATGGCATGAGCTTAATGACTCATAACACTGACTCACACACACTCAAGATTCACCAACATACAAGCTCCTGACTTACCTCATAATATCCCTCATAACATCCCTCATAACATCCCTCATAACATCCCTCATAACATCCCTCATAACGACCAGGGAAGGCGTGAATTACTTTTAATAATTACTGTATTACCGACCTTGTCATATGAGTCCTCTAGCGCATTCGTCAACGTTCTCGGGTCATAATCGAGAGACCCAGGTTCAGTCCGAGACAGAATTAGTTTCTGATTTTGTTTCCTTTCACCTGATGCCTCTTAATACCTAGGAGAGACAAATATGTACCCGAGGTCGAATCACCTCGTTCTCTCGGTTTGTTACTACGTAATAAATGCAACGTTTATTCCTAATCAGAAACGTGCGGACCTAAGCACCTCACCTCGAAGTTGGGGCATTGAAAACGTCGATATTACGGTGTTTTAATATTAACAAATACGTCCCATTATTAATGGGTTAATGCACAAAAAAATGCGACGTATATTAGGAGGGGAAATGGGCTGGATTTAAAGAGGAACAACTGAATTCAAATTACAAAGGAACAAATCCACAAGGGCCGTGACGAGGATTCGAACCTGCGTCCGGGAGCATCCCAGACACTGCCTTAATCGACTGAGCTACGACAGGGTCAAATTACAAAGACTTAGTAGGATATAAAATACCCCGCTTTTAAAGACTGCATCTGATACAACGGAACTGTTGACAGTTCATGGTTCACAGGGTGACGGAATAAAGTTAAAACAACGGAACAACGGTACTGTTGATTACAGCAAACAGACAGACAGACGAACGTGGCTGATTACAGTCCTAAAGAGGTACAAAGGAAATACAAATACAGTTTCTTGATGTAATAATAACGCAAGTATTTACCAAGCCTTAAGCTGTATGTTAATTAGAGAATTATGACATTGTGATAACATGTCAAAATGGTGTTTGGATAAGATATAGCTTAAAAAATATTAAAAGTCCACAGCCGAGTGAGATAAAGAAGGATTGCTTTACCTTGAGATGAAATGATCGAGAGGTTGATACAGAAGATGAGAGCATAAGCACTTCTCAAGATTAACGGCGATTAAAGATTAACTTAGTTAATCCTTAGTAAATCCTCCAGCGCTATGAAGATGAGAGAGAGAGAAAGGTCCCTTTCACTCATGATAAGTGTTCGGAGTTACCGTGAGTAAATATGATAGTGAGGAGACTGCACACACACACACACACACACACACACACACACACACACACACACACACACACACACACACACACACACACACACATACATACACATACACATACACACACATACACACACACACACACACACACACACACACACACACACACACACACACACACACACACACACACACACACACACATACACACAAATGGAATGCATTAGGAAGTGATGTGGTGGAGGCTGACTCCATACACAGTTTCAAGTGTAGATATGACAGAGCCCAATAGGCTCAGGAACCTGTACACCTGTTGATTGACAGTTGAGAGGCGGGACCAAAGAGCCAGAGCTCAACCCCCGTAAGCACAAATAGGTGAGTACAACTAGGTGAGTACACACACACACACACACACTCACAGTTTCCAAAGCCAAATAGCGAGTATGTTCACAAGTATGTGTTATGAGGGCCAGGAACGGGAAGGTCTGTGAGTAACAATGAAGCATTACCTCATTACAGCCTGCTATTCATCACTGTTTAATACACTCATTAGCCTAATTAAAATATTAACTGGACCAATGACCAATTATAGTGCCGCCCTCGTAGTGCCATACCGTCCTTCTGTTCCCCTAACATTGGTGCCATTCTCATTTGTCATCGACTTCGTATAACTCTTTAAAACCCTCGAACGCGATGTCGGGAATACGGTCTCTCGGAGCGCTTCGAATTGAGGTTAAAATCCTCTGTCACTTCCACGTGGAAAATCATTACACAAATTAAAAAATAACATTTGCAATTGCTTAATATAAAACAAAAAAAAAACTGCCTAATGCAGCTTATTGAAACTACTTTCTAACTACATGCAATAGAGTTTAACAACGTTACTCTCTTGAGTAACGGAACAGTTACAGTTACGACAGAACAGTCTCTACGACTGTTCCGGCGTAAAAACAACATTTAATAACACAATGCTTAGTAATGTGGGTTAAAACCTTAGCAATGTTGGTCAAAAAGTAGCAATATGGGTCAAAAACGTAACAATATGGGTAAAAAACGTAGCAATATGGGTAAAAAACGTAGCAATATGGGTAAAAAACGTAGCAATATGGGTAAAAAACGTAGTAATATGGGTCAAAAACGTAGCAATGTGGGTCAAAAACGTAGCAATATGGGTAAAAAACGTAGCAATATGGGTCAAAAACGTAACAATATGGGACAAAAAACGTAGCAATATGGGCCAAAAAACGTAGCAATATGGGTCAAAAAAGTAGCGATATGGGTAAAAAGCGTAGCAATGTGGGTCAAAAAAGTAGCAATATGGATCAAAAACGTTGCAATATGGGTCAAAAACGTTGCAATATGGGTCAAAAACGTTGCAATATGGGTCAAAAACGTAGCAATATGGGTAAAAAATGTAGCAATATGGGTCAAAAACGTAGCAATATGGGTAAAAAATGTAGCAATATGGGCCAAAAATGTAGCAATATGGGTCAAAAACGTAGCAATATGGGTCAAAAATGTAGCAATATGGGTCAAAAACGTAGCAATATGGGTCAAAAACGTAGCAATATGGGTCAAAAATGTAGCAATATGGGTCAAAAACGTAGCAATATGGGTCAAAAACGTAGCAATATGGGTCAAAAACGTAGCAATATGGGTCAAAAATGTAGCAATATGGGTAAAAAAAACTAAGGTTATGAATGGGAGCTTCAGTAGGGCATCATTCCCAATACGATTCCAGGCACTCGACCCAGCATTCCTGGTATTCCCATTCCAGTTTCCAGGGATGATGTCACCCTCTTGCCGGCGTTAGGGGTCCATCTCAAGGTGGAATACTCTACTCAAGCTCTTGGACCCCGCCTTTCTAACCGTCGGATATCTAATGTATTAAATCTCGACCTATCACTTTTTTTTCTCTCTCATACACACCCACACACAGTGTATTTGTATTTGCACTGTGTGTGTGTGTGTGTGTGTGTGTGTGTGTGTGTGTGTGTGTGTGTGTGTGTGTGTGTGTGTGTGTGTGTGTGTGTTTCGGGGAACGCTCACGCTTGAGTGAGTGTTGATAGACACGAGTGTATATTGTGTGTATATCGGGTCACGCGTGTATTTTTGAGTGTGTATACTATACACACTCAAAAATACACACCCTGTTTCCCTGAAGAAACAAATCAGTGCCAGTAGCAGGCACTGAGCCTCACTCACCGTAACATAAGGCTATATTTGAAATGGTACGTTTAATTAGGTTTGCGGGGGAGAATGGATATATATATATATATATATATATATATATATATATATATATATATATATATATATATATATATATATATATATATATAATATATATATGTGTGTGTGTGTGTGTGTGTGTGTGTGTGTGTGTGTTTTCCATATATTTATGTGTTTTCCTGGTATTCACAGCATTCCTGGTGTTTTCAAACATATATATATATGTGTGAAAACACACACATATATATATATATATATATATATATATATATATATATATATATATATATATATATATATATATATATATATATATATATATATATGTGTGTTTTCCATTACACCAACTTTTTCTCCCATTATATCGTCATTCTCCCCCTCCTCTTCTTCTCCTAGTTGCTCCTCCACCTCTCTTCCTACCACTCCTCCTCCTGCTCCTCTAATCACAGCCACAGACACTGTGTTTATCACTGTGGCGTCTCACATGAAGGTATCTGAGCGCCGTCTGAAGCACCAAGACAAATTACTTCGCTTGACGAACACACTTGGCAAGATTCGTCAGTTTCGGAGCTGCTGCCTTTTACCGCATCGCCAGACTTAACATCTCTCTTCTCTTAAAATACACTGAAATGGGATCGAACTCCCGTCTCTTGGTGGTGGACAATTCGCGAATATATTTAAAGGCGTTTCGGTTCGAGTTAAACCACAATAAACTAAGAAACCAAAATATTGGCAGGAGAAAAATGTCTATAAGACCCATCAGCAGATATCCTCAGCGGGTCGTAAGTCTGGCATCAGTAAGTTACGAGCAGTGTGTCGTAAGTCTTGCATCGGGAAGTTACGACCTCCTCTCACCACAGGCTATAGCCCAGCTGTCCACTTATGTCTTCTTTCATATGCAAGTTCGGCGAAGATGCCTTTGTTGAGGAAGCCAGAGGATTTCCTGCAGTTATCAAGTAGTATGTCTCTCATTGCTCATCTTCAACTCATCCTTTTTGTTTGTTGTTGCTCATCTTCAACGTATCCTGAAGGTGGGTTGTGGTCACCGTGTGCTCTACTCTCCCCCTTGCACACTAACATGCAATTGCAATTCTCGGTAGACTGGTTGCACCAGGTAATTCAACCACTATTAAAAAAGTAAACCACAGGCGTGTTGAAATGACTTAATCACACTGATGTAAATATATTTTGTCATTAACTGCAGCAACAACACCAAACCAGCATCCCCAGCACCCTCCTAGCTACCCACAGCATCCTCCTAGCTACCCACAGCATCCTCCTAGCTACCCACAGCATCCTCCTAGCTACCCCCAGCATCCTCCTAGCTCTCCCTAGCGCACCAGACAACCACTTCCCCCCCCTCCTCCCCCACCCTTCCCAAACAATCTCTTAGACACCATAAATACAGCTCCAATAAACCCAAGCAACTATACAGGCTATTCATGCCCGTGCCACTCTTGTGTAGCTTAATCTTCATCAATCAGTCAATCCCATACAACCTTGCCCATGACCGTCTAGGGTACGCCATCAGGAGCTGCGACTACAGTCTTTGCTACATGCAAAGAACAGAGATGCCAACTAGGATGTGAATTAGTGAAGTGATGTGTGAATTAACTCACCTGCTTCCCTCCTGTGTGTGTGTGTGTGTGTGTGTGTGTGTGTGTGTGTGTGTGTGTGTGTGTGTGTGTGTGTGTGTGTGTGTGTGTGCACAGTAGTCTTGCTGGAGTCATCAAACAAACATGTCTTCTTCTCATCTTTGTTGACACTTTTTTTCTTGGGACGTTCAAAGGTAATTAACACTTCCATTTGTTAATGAATGATCATGTTGGCGACGTTCTCTTAATTAAGGGATATTTTATTACTTCTTTTTGTTTGTTTGTTTGTTTGTTGCGATTTAAGGCTGTTGTCGTTATCTTTCCCTTTTGTTCTTTCGTTATCTTTCCCTTCGTTATCTTTCCTTAAGTGCGTGCACAACCTGTCCACCTGCAGGTAACTTAGTACCTGCAGGTGGTACTACATACTTAGTACTGGTCCACATACTTAGTACTAAGGTACTAAGGTACGTTAGTACGTTAGTACCTTAGTAGCTGTGTTTTGCAACAATAGGAGGTCGTATCTTTCAACAGCCATCATCACCACTAAAACTCATCACCATCATCATCATTGGCCTCATTATCGTCACCATCACTAGCATCACCATCATTACCAACATCTACACAATCACCACAACACGCTACCACAGGTATACCGACCGGAAATAGTGTCATCAAATCAAGCTGGAAAAGATTGAGTAACTGAGTTAACAGTGAATTGCAACATTCGGTAATGTGTTGCTGATGACGCTTGCAACACCGTCATCACGGATTACTGCAGTGAACGACAACGTTTCGCACACCTTCGCAGGTGTACGCAGGTGTTTTGACAGTATCGTACACCTTGACAGGTCCATCCAGCGTGTGTACAATCAACTCCTTCGGTCTTGATTAGTGGGTGTTATAAGTCTTGTGAATTACGTTTCTTATGGCGGGGAGAAACCCTTGCAAGATGTTGACCAGACCACACACTAGAAAGTGAAGGGACGACGACGTTTCATCGACTTGGAGAATGGTCCAGGACGGACCGAAACGTCGTCGTCGTCCCTTCACTTTCTAGTGTGTGGTCTGGTCCACATACTTCAACCACGTTATTGTGACTCATCGCCTGCCTTTTCAAGATGGCAAAGAGGAGATAAACGTGGGAGATGTACGTGGGAGGTGTACGTGGGAGATGTGGAAGGAGGGGATGGGAATAAGTAGAAGTGGGAGATGGAGAGGATGTGTGAGAGATGCAGCATCATTACAACCACAAGAGATGCAGCATCACGTTTGAGATCAAGCTTAACGCGTCCAACTAAAGCCAGCCAACCAATCCCATTTACAACAGAGCAAAGTTAATAACTCAAACCAGACTCACCCCTCATGCAAATCACGTAAATTAGCATTTGATCAAATAACCTATTTAGTCTGGCATTAAGTATTATTACGTATTTGCTCTAACATATTTGCCCTAAAAACATTAATGGTGAAGCTTGCATCGTCATGCAAGTCGTAATGTACACAAAACTATTTTTTTCCTTGAAGCTGTTGCAAAATAAATACATTATATATATATATATATATATATATATATATATATATATATATATATATATATATATATATATATATATATATATATATATATTTGATTTAGATCTTGGTGAGTTATAAATTGTAAATTTAGATATTAGTGTTCTAAAGCCTAGAACTATTTGATGTTCTAAACCCTCTTGAAATACACATACATGTGCTTGAAAACTGTTTTTTTATATAGAAACTAGAAATTTCAATTTAATTACACCTATGATTTATCTTGCAATAAAAGCATTGCGCATCAGAGAAGCTTCTGGTATGCAATTGTTATCATCATTTGCAGCCGTTTTTTGAACAATTTTGATGGTTTACGGCGTTAATAATACCCAGTCACGTGTTTACAAAACAGTCAGGTGTTCACATTCAAAACATCGATTTAAACAAAGACAAGATGCGCCTCCTTCTTCAAGACACGAACGCAAGAGCCATTAGCGCTCCTGAGAAGGCTAGATTATTCTCCGAGGATCTTACGAAACCAGAAAACTTGCTAACGAAACGAAGTGCAGCGAACGACGAGGAATTAAATTGACCGAACGCCTCTGCATAAAGGTCTGTATTGCGATTGAATTGTTCGCTCGCTGTCGGGAACAGAGGCCGAACCCTGGGTGATACGCCATATAATATCTTCCCTTCTTCCCCGGAGCGGCCGAAAGGATTATTCAGAAAACGACACAGGAATACGAAAATAAGCCTTATTAACCCAGCAGCACGTTCTCCTCCTCCTGCATTAATGGTAATGAATTTCCCGGCAGTGGTCATGAGCTCCGCGGAAATGACTGAAAATGATTTCCATGGTTGTGCGAGCGATTGTGTGAGTGAGAGAGGA